TTTTTATGTTCAATTGAACTTTAATTTGTTAGTTTTAAAGTATTTATTGAATGTTGTTGTTGTATTTTTGTTGTTGTTGTTGTTGTTGTGTTGTTGTTGTTGTATTTTTGTTGTTGTTGTTGTTGTTGTTGTTGTGTTGTTGTTGTTGTTGTTGTTGTTGTGTTGTTGTATTGGTATGCTGGCAGGTGGTTTAGCTGCCAAAACAGGCATTTTATGCCAAAATTAATCCCAGAACCGACCAACGTTGTTCGGTTTTTAATAAAAAAAATAAATTATTCCAAAATACCGATCAAAGTTGGTCGGTTAATAAACATTGAATTCCCAGAATTCAACACTACCGTCCAACTTTAGTCGGTATTTTGCTTGCATTGTTGAGATTACCGACCATAGTTGGTCGGTAATGTTTAATTTTAATTAGTTTTAAAAAATATATATTTTCAATTACCGACCAAAGTTGGTCGGTTTTTTTTAATTTTAATAATTAATAAAAAAAATATAATTTAGTTAAACCGACCAATTTTGGTCGGTAAAATTAAATTAATAAAATATGTTTCCGACCAAAGTTGGTCGGTAAGTAATTAAACTTGTCAGATGGTCGTTTTAATATACCGATCAAAGTTGGTCGGTAATTTCCGACCAACTTTGGTCGGTAAGCTATTCCGACCATCAAAACACCGTCCACACCGTAATGGTCGCGTTTTGGTCGGTAATTTGCCATAACCGACCAACGTTGGTCGGTATTTTTGGTCGGTTTTTAGCGAATTTCTAGTAGTGTTGCCTTATGGTGCACCAAACCTACTGAAATTTGGCTTTGATTTTCAGGAATCAAACATGTACAAAGACTTATACCGAGAGTTGCAGCCTTTGGTGGTAATTGTGTGGTGTCCCAAATGGTTTGACAGATCTCATAGGACTGGAATTTTTTGGAAGCCGTCATCATATAGACATTCAAGAAGGAATGAGCCAGTGAACTTGGTTTGTTTAGTCTCTAAACACCATATTGCGGTTCTTTTCTTGAACTCTTGATACCCCATGCAGTTGCAACATATAACCAGAAATTCCTTCTCTATCATCAAGTTAGTTTTTAGATCAGAGATGTTGTAAATGAGGATTGGTTGTTGGAAGGGAACCATATTTATGTATTATTTTTGCACATATCATAAGGAAAAAGTCATACGATACTACGCATATTGTAAAGAAAGAGTCATGTTATAGGTATTTTACGGAGAGCTTATGGTTTATGTATTAGTAACATGTTTGGGCCGTGTGATGCACAGGCTTCATCAATTTTTCCGTTCATATACACTATTTGAAACTTTATTACGATAAATGTCCATATTTTTGAATTTACCCGACCTAAACACGATTTAGTTACAAAATCTATACACTTGTTTAAACTAGAATCCTTCCTGCGATAGTCTTCCTTATTTAGACGCGGAATTTTTGGGATCGCTTAGAGATTTTACTGACGCAATCGTCGCACCAATTATGAAGGCAACATATTCGTATAATCCTTCTATTACGCAGATTTTCACTGGTTATAATCGCATCCTTCTATTCTCTGGTTTTCTCTTGTTTTCTCTATTTTTTCATAAACAGAGGGTTTAAACAAAACAATTGTAAACAATTAGCTACAATTGAATTGAATTTCGCGACATAATGTCAAAATTAGCGATTTTGCTTCACCTCAATGGTCGGTGAGATAGCGTTGAGAGATACAAAGATTTTGATGTTGACGGAATTGTAGTCAATGACGATTCAAATTATAGTCAATTAAATTCTGCAATTGCAGAGCATCTAATAATCGATACCTCCGCAAAAATTATCGAAATCAAATACACTATCAATGAACGTTGTCCTCCAATAGAAATTCGGAGCGATATGAGAGTTCGAGTGTATATGGAGACGAAAAAGGAAAACAAAAACTTAGGAATGTATCTGTTGTGTATAACAGTGTGTGATTTCGATTTGGAATGCAGTATGTCGAATGCGAGCACAATTGCAGGTTTGCTCTGATTTCCAATGCTGATGTTTTTTCAATTTCAAGTGTTTTATAATTTTTCTATATATTATCTACAATTTTACTACATAACAAATGTAGTTCAACTGTTACGCCTCTACCAGCATTCTGTCAAATATTGAACACATGAATATACAGAGGTCTGAATTGATATACTATTAATTGAGTGCATGATCTTCTGATTATCATAACACTAACATGGTACAATTGTCAAGCAATTGTAATACAATTGGAGAAATTTCAAGAACAGTGAAGTTGATTGATATGAAAACATCTCCGGAAATTGTGGAATATGAAAGTATGATCATAACAGAACATACGCCAAATGTAATTGAAGTAGGCCAAGTTTACCAAGACAAGCAAACAACTGTCAGTGCAATGAAATACTATTCTGTCATGAATAAATTTTAATTTAGGGTGAAAAGGTCTAGTGCAAGAAGGTAGGAACATTTTATTTGTCAAATTTATATTGTGTATAAGTTGTAGTTTTTTTGTATATAAATTGTTAAAATAAGTTTTGTGCATAAACGACCTCGTATTTTGCAGCTACAATTTCCATAATATTTTTTGAATTATTTTTATTTTGTAGCTACTGCCTTGTATGTGTTGGTGACAATTGTACGTGGCACTTCAAGTCCACCAGCATAAATGAATCAGCATTGTTCAAGGTTCGAAAATTCAACAGCTTGCACACATGCTCTTAGATGGACAACACATACATACAATGCAAACCTACTGCCATGGTAGTTTGTAGCATGGTGATGCCAAAATATGCAGATTATAAGACAATATACACACCAAAAGACATACAAACTGACATGTTGTCGGATCATGGTGTGAACTTAACATACATGCAAGCTTGGAGAGTGAAGGAAAAGGCTTTGGAATTTTTGAGAGGTCATCCTGCTGATTCCTACAGTTGTTTGCCGAGTTATTTGTATATTCTGGAGAAGACTTATCCGGGGTCGGTAGTGAAATTACAGAAGTCTGAAGATGACTGTTTCTTGTATGTATTTGTTGCACTTAGTACGTCCATCAAGGGTTGGGAGCATTGTAGGCCAGTTGTAGTAGTTGATGGCACCTTCTTGAAGTCGGCATATATGGGAATCATGCTAACAACTAGCACAATGGATGCAACAGGTAATGTAGATTAATTATAAAAATATTATTATAAAGTTGTTTTCGAGACTGTATTTTTTATATTCTCAAGTTTTATTACAGAAATTGAATTTTTTTCTGCCACATGTGTGATAGGTATCATATTACCACTAGCATACGCCGTTGTTGATTCAGAAAATGACGCATCATGGAGGTGATTTTTTGAGCAATTCAAACATGCATATGGTGAAAAAACAAATATGTGTGTTGTTTCGGACCGGAATAGGAGTATCTTGAAGGCAACATCTATTGTTTATACAGGCATGACACATTATGCTTGCATGTGGCATATTTGGACAAATGTAAGGTCAAAGTTCTAGAAGGGTCATCTAAAGTTAAGCGAATTGTACTTTGCCACGGCACGATCATATACGCTTGATGAATTTAATGAAAGAATGTAAAAGATTGAAGAGATCGACACACGTGTTAAAGCATACCTATACGATATTAGCTATCAAATATGGTCTCGGGTACATGCTACAGTGAACAGAACGTGGACGATGACATCAAACATTGCAGAGTCATTGAATGCGGTAACCAAAGATGCAAGAGAGCTGCCCGTAGTGAAACTATTAGAGTACATGAGGACTCTTCGTGAACATTGGACTAATGAAAAGTTATTGAATGCAAAGGGTATGTTCACATACCTTGGGAAAAAATACAACAAAGAGTTGGAGGACAACAGGACATTATCGCAAAAGATGAGAGTAAGCTATAGCCAATAACATCAGATCATTGATTTAGTCAAACTAAATATATACTGTTAATTGTAAAAAAGTTGTTGTATAATTGCAGTTATTTTGTTTTGTATATGTTGCTGACAAATTGTTGTGTGTTTGTAATGAAATTGTAGGTGAGGGCTTCAACATATTACATCCATACTGTGATAGATGGTGTGAAGCGCTTCATTGTTTGCCTTCACAACAAGAGATGTAGTTGTGGATAATTCCAGCTTGATGAACTTCCTTGTGCACATGCTTTGGTGGCTTTGAGGCACAGGATTGAGCCTTATGAAATCTATTATTCTCCTTATTACACGAGCGAGAGACATATGCAGACTTATGAAATACCAGTAGACCCACTGCCTGACGAAAGCAAATGGAATGTGCCACAACATATAGCTGAAGAAGTTGTAAAGCCACCTACCGGGAAAAGGCAGCCAGGGAGACCTCAAAAACAAAGATACAAACCATATGATGAAGTAAATGCAAAAAAGTACAAGGCTTCATGTGGCAACTGCGGAGTAGAAGAGCATAACAAAAGATCTTGTATGAATGCTCCCAAAAGGAAATAAAAATTGATAAAATTTAAAGTTTTTTTTTACTGAGTACTGTTGATGATAATCTGTCCTTTAAGACATATGAAGTTGTATTTGTTCTGTTCTGGAGAATTATAGTTATGGTGTAAATGTGTTGTTAATTTGAATAAACATTGTCTCGTATAATGAATGTTTGCTAAACAGATTTCAACTCTTAATGCAATTGATTTGTAGTTGTTTTGTTCAAATACTGAGTTTATTTATTACTTTCACCCTTTCCTAACAACACTGCTAAATTGAATAGATTATGTATTTTTGTATAATAGTTGTAGAAATAATTATAGTTATGCTGTAAAGAAATTATATAGTACCAATATCGAGATCAAGTACTAACAACTTTCAACCAAAGAAAAAGCCACATATGTTTTCTATTCTATGTAGTAGAATTATGGACAAAATAACAACACAAAAGGTAAAAAAAACTGTAGCACAAATCTACTACAAATAAATTACAACTGACTCTTTCTTAATAAATAATTTGTCTACAACTTTACTACAATCCAGCTACATCTAAACACTTTAACTATAATTTTTGTTTTTACTGAAAAGGGCAACTAATTCTTCTTTTTTCGGACTTGTGTTCTTTCGTTCACAGCTGGTGTAACTTTTCTTCTTGCTAATCTTCCAGTTACCTCACTTTCACTAATTGCACCAAGCTCTTGCTTTTTCCTAGCATAATCCCAAAGGAGCGCTCCATAGCGTCAACGGTGTTGATCAATATCAGAAAGGTCTTCCTTTGAAATCGATAGCTTTCCAATGCTTACATATTCTGCAAATGCCGCCAAGTATACACCGTAGTCACTGCAAAAAATAATAGGGGAAAAGTTTTAGCATTCAATGTAAAATACAATTAGTTAAATAGATAGAAGAAAAGCAGCACATACGGTGATCCTTCTTTTTGATGGGGTATCTCACCGACCAATCACTGAATGTCAAGAGGGTCAGTAACACCTTTTTCAATGTATGCCTTTGTGTTCTTGTAGTTGATGTCTGGACGCTTGCCATAGAAGCCGGTGCATGATAAGTAGAGGGGGATCATAATAGCAAACTAGTCGACAACAGATTCAACAAGTTTGTGATTTCGTGAAGAGACCATAGAATCATAAACATATAGAACCCTATCGGTGATGTCAAACACAGCCAACAATCAATGAAATTTCTCCATAATGTTTATGGGCATAATCACAAAATCAACTTTGTCCCACGCAACATTTGCAAGTAATCGGTACCCCAATATGTATTCCGCTACGACGTTATGGGGTTTGACAACAACAAGCTTCTTATCGGCAGGAGCATTAATGTACCTCTCATAAATTTGTTCAATTCTAGTTTTGAACATACTGTTAGTGGTTGTAAACCGTATTTTATTTTCAGGACCATACTTTCCTCACTTCCTCAAATAGTATAAAATAACATCAATGTGCTGCAACAAAAAAAACAGATTTCATTATTTCTCAATGCTTCATACAATTTAACTACAATTTTCAAACAAAAAATCTACATATTTCTAAAATAACATAATATTACAGCTAATCATTAAATTCTGCCAGGGTATGTGTGTACCGTGTTGTTGAGTACTTGCCCGGGATGTGCCAAAGTATAAAACCAGTCAGTTTTATCAACTTTCTCCACTCCAAGATCAAACAACAGATTGAGCTGGTTGTCTTTTAAAGTATAAGGCGCCTTCCTCTTATTTAAAGACACAGCAAGTACAATTATTATGTAGTTTAAATTTGAAATCCATAAATTGTATGCACTCGATAATATAAAAAATATTGTAAAATATAACCTCTTTGAAACCTTGTCGGTACCTAAATATAATCACTTATTGAATTCTTCCAACAAGTCAAGATCAACATCGTCGCTAATAACCCCAGTAAATGGATGCTTGATGTTAAAAATTGTAGGAGGTCCAACAAAAATGCTTCCCCCAGAACTGAAATAAGGGAGAAAGGGGGATCTGGCATGCTTTCCAGGAACCCTTGTTCTTCTGTAACGACCCGACTTGTCGTTTTAAGAAATTATGCCCTGTCCAATAAATTAAGGTCTCGAGAAGCTTCACAATATATATTATGACCCGCGTGTGTGGTCGAGTTTGGTTTTCGGAAGATTCAGAATTTAATTTAAAGAAAAATTCTCATTTTGAAGCTTAAATAGAAAGAGTTGACCGGGGAGTTGACTTTTGAGCAAACGACCCCGGAATAGAATTTCGATGATGGCAATAGCTTTGTATGATAATTTTGGACTTAGGCGTATGTTCGTATTTGGATTTTGAAGTTCGTAGGACAATTCGACACATTTTGGCGAAAGTTGGAAAATAGAAGATTTTGGAAAAAATCCTACCGATGGATGAATTTTTGATAACGAGGTCGAATTTCGATTCCAAAAATGGGAATAGCTCCCTTACGTCAATTATGACTTGTGTGCAAAATTTGAAGTCATTCCGGATTGATTTGATACGTTTCGGCGTAAAATATAGAAGTTGGAAGAATTAAAAAACTTATAATTCGATTCGATATGCGATTTGTAATTTTGGCATTGTTTGATGTGGTTTGAAGCCTCGACTAAGTTCGTATTATATTTTGGGACATGTTGGTATAATTGGTTGAGGTCCCGGGGACCTCGGGTGAGTTTCGGATGGTTAAACGGACCAAATATTGGACTTAAAGGTCTGTTGGAAATCTGCCACTAGTTTCATCGCATCTGCGATGAAATTGATCGCAAATGCGAGATTTAAGTCGCATAAGCGAAGATGGAAGGGCATGGCAGTGGTCGCAGGTGCGAAGAAAATCCCGCACTTGCGGAAGCGCAGAAGCGGGCAGAGAAGGCGCAGAAGCGGAGGGGCATCGCAGAAGCGATTCCCGCAGAAGCAGAAAAACTTCCGCAAATGCGATGGTCGACTGGGCAGTGGCCTTCGCAGAAGTGAGATTTCTCTCACAAAAGCGAGCACGCAGGTGCGAAAATTCGTCCGCAGATGCGAAACTGGGCAGAATGTTAAGGACCAAAAATGGTCATTTCGCCATTTTTCGATTGAGATTTTGCAGCTCGGTGTTTGGGCGATTTTGGAGGAGTTCTTTAAGACTTTGACTTGGATAAGTGTTCTATATCCTAAAGTGATTATATTTCATGAATCTATGATTATATTCATCGTTTTTTTAAATGGAAGAAATCAAGATTTTTACAAAATCTTCCAAAAACGAAAGTTTAAAATTTGGAGGTCGAGTTGTTATTGGAATTCGATAAAATTGGTATGGTTGAACTCGTATCGGAATGGATATTCGGATTTCATGAAATTATGTCGGGTTCCGAGGGGCGGGCCCCCGCGTTGACTTTTGTTGATGTTTTTGGAATAAAATTTTAAGTCGACGTATTATTATCCGAAATTATTTCCGATGAATTTTAATAAAGTTATACAATTAATTTGGATAGATTTAAGCTGTCCGGAGGCCAATTCAAGCAAGAAAGCTATTTTGGAATATCGGCCTAACTTCAAAAAGGTAAGTGTCTTGCTTAACCTCGAGTGGGGGAATTACCCCTTAGGCATTGAGTCTTATGTGCCATTTGTGAAATGTGAAAAGCCGTGTACGCGAGGTGACGAGTACGTACTCGGGCTTATACGTGCAAAATTCATTGAAATAAAGTCTTAGGCATTATTGCGTAGTAAATTGGAAAATTATGAAAAATTATTAAATCATTTGTTTGCCATACCTAAATCCTTATTGTTGAATTTGTTTTTATATGATAATTTGATGTGATTATTACTTGAAATATTTATGAAATTTCGTGAGGATTGTTGGTTTAATATTTCTTGGAAATTAATTCCAATATGAATCTTCTTATGCAAATAATTAATTTAAGCGAGCTTAAGAATAAGTGTTAATATAATTATCTAAATTTGTATTAATAAAGGTTTTGCTTTATGCTGAGTAATTTATATCTCTATTGATTGTTTTGGGTGTTATATACATTGTGTGGAGCCTTGGGCTATTTGTTGTGAAATTAATTGATTTTGTTATATCTTTGGAATTTGGTTGTGGCCATTGGGCAAATTGTGATATGAATTGATTTTATTATATTNGGAGATAAGGGTGGCATTTCACCGTTGATATTATGTGGGTATAAGGGTGGCATTTCACTGTTGTTGTGTTTGTTGGAATATTGTCTGGGCGGAGCGATAAGGGTGGCTATAGGAGCGATAAGAGTGGCAATAGGAGCGATAAGGGTGGCTATTGATATTGTCTGGGTGGAGCGATAAGGGTGGCTATAGGAGTGATAAGGGTGGCAATAGGAGCGATAAGGGTGGCTATTGTCAGGGACGATATGTGATGATATGGGGTTGTGGTGTTGATAATTTTCATGTGATGTTGTGATTTTCTTGTGTTTATTTCTATACCGTGTGCAACTTGTCTTGTTATTGGTAAATTGATAACAATCTGATTTATGTTGAAACTGAGAGCCCGTGGCTATTGTCAGGCGGATTATAAAAATGAAATGTGGGCACGAGGTGCCGTGAGTAAATAATGAGAATATTTGGCACGTGAATTGTCCGTGCAGTTGTGATATGAAATGTGGGCACGAGGTGCTGTGATGAAATGATAATGATAATTGGCACGTGAATTGTCCGTGCAGTTGTGATATGAAATGTGGGCACGAGGTGCTGTGATGAAATGATAATGATAATTGGCACGTGAATTGTCCGTGCAGTTGTGATATGAAATGTGGGCACGAGGTGCTGTGATGAAATGATAATGATAATTGGCACGTGAATTGTCCGTGCAGTTGTGATATGAAATGAGGGCACGAGGTGTTGGAAAAAATATGATGATTTAATTATGGGCACTAGGTGCCGTAAAAATATAAAAATGGGTTGAGACCCGTGTTTACGAAAAATATAAAAAAGGGTTGAGACTCGTATTTTTATGATTATGAAATGAGGTGTCACATGGTAACTTTTTAATTGAAAGAATTGTATTCAA